TCAGCTCTGACAGTCTCTGTTCTAAGAGTCATTCCCAGATCTAATATTCTAGGTTTTGAAGACCCTCTAAGTTCCAATATACTGTGCTTAATAAGTTCCCATGTTCTAAGGTCCCACCCAACTCTAATATTCTGTGTTCTAAGGTGTCTTCCTAGATCCATGTTCTTGTTCTATTTTATGTTCTAAGGCCCTGCCCAGCTCTGCCATCTCATGTTTTAAGGTCCCACCTACTTTGGACCTTCTGTTCTAATGGCCTTCCCAGCTCTGACATTCCATGCTTTAAGGTCTCTACCAGTTCTGACATTTCATGTTCTAAGGTCCCTCCTATCTGGGAATTCCCTGTTCTAAAGTCTCTCCAAGCTGTGTGACATTCTACTGTCTCTACCAGGTTAATTTTTAGGGGTCAAATATCTTGCCAGAAGCAATTAGAGAGAAGGTGGTAGTTGTTATTTTCTCTTTTAGAAACAGTAACAATTTGGAGCCTTGTCACCTGGGGTTCACCATCTGCTCCAAACACTTCCCACTCGACCTTATATAAAGTTGATGCTATATGATTCCCCTTCCAAAACAAAGTTGCACTTTCTTTCCTACAAACACCAAGATATTTATTAGGAGAGCTACAATATTAAGAATTAGCTGATTCTTTTTATAACTTTTTTCTATTCCCAAGCATTTATTTTGTCCCTCACATTCCCCCCAAACTGAAGAAAACAAAACCCTTGTAATGGATGTCAGAAGTCAAGCAAAGCAAATTTCCACATTCACCATATACAAAAATGTGTCTAGTTAATTCTTATTTATGTAGTGTCGTATAGTGATATTTATTATAGTGTTTTAACATTTGCAAAATGATTTGTGCACATGATGGCATCGGAGCCTCACCACAACTCTGCAGCAGGCATTATAGAATTATCTGTTTCATGGATTGGAAAACTGAGGTGTAGAGATGACAAAAGATTTGCCCTTAGTCCACAGCTCAGAGGTGGCTTGAGATCTAATACCCTCCAGGGCCACTCAAGAATGTTGTTAATCAGAGAACAGCATTGGGGCTTAATGAATGTGAAAATCCAATGAAAATTGTGTGTCTGCATATTCCATCAGCATGTTTACTGGGGCCAGGTCGATGTGTGTAGTGGGCTTGAAGGCAAAGGGCATTGTTCTTGCCTGGGATGTGGAACCCTACGAGGGAATTTCGAACAGGTGAGCATGTGCCAGGCTGTGGGAATCTGCCATCACAGCTGGCATGAATGGGTCCTCAAGTTCTGGGTCAGTTGCATGCTACTGTATGCAATACATCTAGAGCAGGCACTTTTAAGGCAAGTGTGTGTGTGTGTGTGTGTGTGTGTGTGTGTGTGTGTGTTGGGAGGAGGAGGGGTGAATAAAAAAGAAAGGGCCTCTGTGCAAATTCATGGTGGGGATAATTTATTTGTAGATCTAGTTGGATGTTTGGACAAATCACACAGACAAACACACAGACACACCCACACAAAACACCCACACTTGCCTCACTTGCTAAATAAAGGGGTTGGATTCCATGAGCACCAAGGCTCTTTCCTGGGTTCTTATAGTGTGGGCAAAGCTTTAGTGACCTGTCTGACTCCAACTGGGGTGAGATCTGAACCAAATTCTTTCTGGTTCTGAGGCCAAGTCAGAGATCACAGAGCCATCTTGCTTCTATTCTTCTCTGGCCCACCTCTGGCCCACAGTGGCTGTGTGACCCTGGGTAAGTGCATGCCTTCTCTAAGACAACCCTTTAAGACCAGAAGTTGCAGAGAAGGTTGCACTGGGGCAAGAGTTTTCTTATCTGGGAATTCCCTACATTAATGAAACTGGTGGTCCAGTCACCATGCCTATCCATTCAGCGCCAATATTCTCCATTCTAAGGTCTCTTCCAGCTTATATCACTCAAGGTTCTTTTGAGTAGTTCCGAAGGGACTAAAGGTAGTGGTCTGGGACCCAATGGACAGGGAAAATTGGGACAGGGGTGTCGATATTTTCTAGTGTGGCTATTAGCAAGCATAGGTTGTCAGTTACACAAGGGCTGAGTGCTCACTTGATAGATTTTTTCGGGACATTTTGCTTCTCCTCTGAGCCCCTCCAGCTCCCTGCCCCCCTTTTTTTTTTTTAAATTCCTGAGCACTCTACTCTTTTTGGGTGTGTGTTTGCTAGTTGGAGGGGGGGGGAGAGGAAAGATGTAAAGGCAAAGATGTGAAGCTCAGCCCGTTTGATGTGGTCCCTGATAGGTTTTCTGAGTGCAGAGGGTAAAATAAGTGTCCAAATGACATGCAAAGCATCTCTGTGCACTTCAATTTCCCTCCCTCCCAACCCCACCCCCTTCCCCCACACACTCCTCATCCCTCCATTTCAGTGGATAACTGAGAACTGGCTGCATTATCATTTGAGTGACATCAAGATAAGCCTGTTGGGTTGGGAGTTTGAAGGCCTGGATCCAAATTCAGCTTTGGCTCTTGGCTTCATGGCCTGGGTAAAGGCCTCTGATCTTTATTTGCTTTCATTTCCTCTTCTGGAAAATGAATAGGTTTAAATCAATTATCTCTAAGGTACCATGAAGCTGGTATCTCCTGCTGCCCCAAATGAGGCTCTGCCACACTAGACAGTGATGGCCACTAACAACTGAAGGAATGTTCTCCCCATGGATTCGGTCAAGTCAGTCAATAAACATTTGTTAAGCACCTACTGTGTGCCAGGCACTGTGCTAAGTGCTGACGATACAAAGGCAAAAGACAGTTCCTGTCAGAATGTTAAAAATACAGAATCAATTAAAAAAAGGCAGACTCTGCCCTCAAGGGGCTTACAATTTAAGGGGAGGGAAGCTCATTCTTTAGGACCTGAAAAGCCCCTGGTAGTCCTTCCTCAATGTAAAATGCAAAATCAAACCCCATATTTTATAGATTCCCATTGCTTAGGGGATGATCAATTCTAGCCTACATAGTACTAAGGTGGAAAACATTAGCATAGGTTCCCAATAACCTAGAACACCGAAGGAATCTATCTGTGTGATGCTGGGCACTACTTCACCTCTCAGTGCTTTAGTTTTGTTCTCTGTAAAATGACCTGGCAGCCTCAAAGGTTCCTTCCACCTCTAGATCTGGGACCCTACCTGTGACTCTGGACAAGTCATTTGACCTTTCTGGGCCTTAGTTTCTCCATTTGTAAAATGAAGAAGTTGTACCGGATGACCTCTGAAGTGCTGATCCAGTTTTAAATCTATGTCTGCCACACTTCCTCTAAGCCAAAGCTCATCTATTTCTTGCTGTTTTAAAGCCTAGCGCAAATGGTCACTTCTTTTGGGAAGTCTTCCCAGATCTCCTCCTATCAGAAATGCCATCAGATAATATTGTCTATTATGGTTATTTATTATCTTCTGGAAAGACTGCACACTCTATGAGGGCAGGAATTAGGTCTTGTCTAAACTATCACTTCCTCTATTTTCAGGGCTCTGCACAGAATAGGTTCTTCATAATGTTTGCTGAATTGACTGATTCACCTCCACAGAGCAATACAGGCAAATTCCCATGATGCCAGTCTTCTCCCCAGGCAGTGGTCCAGGGGCAGCAGTCCAGTGCTCTGCCCTCCCCTCTGGAAAACTGCAAAAAGTGGAAAGTAGGCCCTGGAACAAATGCCCAACTGCCCCGGGGGCAGCCAGATCCTGCCTCCTTCACCAAGATAAAGTGAGAGTAAAAGATAATGAAGACCAAGGCTCCCTGCTGGCTTCAAGGCTGGCTGTGCATCCCTCCCCCACTCGATACTCAGACGTCTCAGCCCCTAGAAAACGCGGGTGGTAGTTGGTACTCTCTGTGTTTCGACCAATGCCACAGGTGGGCTTTGGTCCTTTAGAGGGGTAGTGATTAGTGAACTCAACTTACACAAGAGCACTTTGGGAAGAATGCTGGACGTTCTCATGCTCAGGCAAAGCGCTTTTCTGAAATCGGCCGGCTAGCCCGGGTTGGAATCCGAGGGCTGGGCCAATTTCGACTATATGTGCTGTTTTTGATAGCAGGGCTCTTGGAACAGAAGAGCTGAGTTCCAAAGCAGCGCATCAAGACAGTGACCCTGGAGAAAGCATCTCGCCCTTCTGAGCCTATTTCCTCACCTCTAAAATGGAAATAGTTATAGGAAAGTCCTTTGGAAGCGGTAAAGCCCTATAGATAGGGGAATTATCATCACCATCATTATTATTATTCAGTCTTCGTGTCTTTGCATGCTTCGCACGTACGGACGTTTGTGTAAGCGTAGTTTGGAGGGGGGATGGGGGAGAGCTCAGGAGCCTAGCCCTCGATCCTCAGGGAAGGAGGACCCCCTCACTGAGGTTCAATCCAGCCGTATGTTGTGTATCTCACGGGTTCCAGCTTGTTGGGCGTTCGCTTGCTTCTCCCCACCCCCAACCCCCGCCCCCCATCTAAGTGCTACCCTAAGCTGTTGCCGACCCAGCGCCGCTCAGTTCAGGCCAAGGGCTTGCAGGCCTGGGGGTCGGAGGGCGAGGGAGGCAGAGGTCCCGAGTGGAGCGGCCAGCTTTGCACTCCCAGTCCCCTAGCCCCGGCCAAAGCAGAGGTTTATCCTCGGGCCCCTCCGAGCCTGCAGCACCCTCCGGGAACGACGTCCCACTCTCCCTCCAACCCCCAGCCCTCAGCCTAGAAGGAGGAAGACTAGAGCGAAGGAGGTCAGAGGGCCGGGGTCGCGGCTAGCACTTGTCTCCCCGGTGTCTCAGTCTTTGTGCTCGGGAGAGGAGGGGAGACGAGAAGGAGGCGAGGGGAGGAGAGGAGAGGGAGGCCGGCCCGGCGGGGGCGGAACCCGGCTAACAAACTGTTGCATTTGCTCCCAACCTCCCCGCGCCCCCTCTGAGATCCTGGGGAGCCAGAGTGCCCGGTGACTAGAAGAAGGAGGAGGAAAAGAGGAGGAGGAGAGAAAGGGGAGGAGGAGGAGGAAGAAGAAGAAGAAGGAGGAGGAAGAGGAGGAAGAAGAAGAGGAGGAGGAAGAAGAGGAGGAGGAAGAAGCGGCTGCAGCTAGCAAAAAAGCAAGCCCGGGGTGAGGCAGGCAAGTGAACCCGCCCGAGCTGCCCAGGCCAGGCGGGCTCAGGCAAGGCAGGAGCACCGGGGGCCGCGGACCGTCGCGTCTTTCACCACCTCCCCCCTCCCCCTCGCACGCCCGTCCCGTCCCCTCCCCTCCACCCAGCTCCGATCTCGGCCAACGCCTCTTGCAGTGCGGCGGCGGCGGCGGCGGAGGCGGCGGCGACGCCCGGGAGCTGCCCTTTCCTCTTCGGTGAAGTTTGTACAAAGCGTCGGAGACCTCGGAGGAAGCAAGCAAAGTGCTGAGGCAGGAGGAGGATCGGCGGCAGGCTCGGCGGCAGGCTCGGTGGCAGGCTCGGTGCTCCCTCCGCCAACCCCCGCCCCAGCCACCGCCTCCTCCTCCCCGCCGTGAGCGCCCCGTCACCTCTGCCGGCGGCCGCCCCCAGCCCGAGTTTGCAGAGAGGTAACTCCCTTTGGCTGCGAGCGAGAAGCGAAGGAAGGAAGGAACGAAAGAAGGAAGGAAGGAAGGAAAGAAAGGAGGCAGAGAGAGCGAGCACCGGGCAAGCGAGCTGCACGCTGGCAGCACAGCCGGAGCGGGAGCCGTGCGCCTGGACACCGCGAGCCTAACCCGGGGACCCAGCCCGGGACTTGGCTAGCCAGCCAGCCCGCTGGCCGGCGCAGGGCGGGCCCCCTCCCGCTCAGCACCCCTCCCCCTCGTTTCGCCCCCTCCCTTCCAGCGTCCCCCGGCCCCGCCTCGCCTCCTCCCTCTGCCCCTTCACCCCGGGAGCTCGGGGCCAGAGATCAAAAGATGAGCCAGCAGCCTCGGCTCGCCCCAGTAGTGTAGAGAGCCAGCTCTCCCTGGCACCTGCTTCCGTGGGCTCAGACTTTGCCAGGCGCCTGGGGGCCTTGGGGCTTTTTTTTTTGAGGAGGGTGCCTCTGTGTGCAGGGGAGGGGGCGTGTTTTTGTTTTGCTTCTGCAATAACTGAGCATCTCTTGCATACAACCGAGTGCCCAGGGACTGTCAGCTGACGAGGGCAGACTCGGGAGTCCCCCGCGTGCGCCCGGGGTGACGAACCTCACAGACACACACGCGCACACACACACTCAGACACACACACACACACGCACACGCACACACACACACTCACACAGCCAGAGCTATTTCTGGCCGCCGCGCGGGGCTCCGCACCAGACTTTGTCGGGCTCGTGCATAGTGGCTTCTCCAAGTTTCCTCCGCTGGAGCTTTCCGCAGGTGGGCAGTAGCCGCAACCGCCGCAGAGGCGCCCGCTGAAGAACTCTGCGAACCGAGCTAAACCCAGAGCAGTCGGGCTGGGCCGGAGGGGAGGGCCAGCCGAAGGAGCCCCAGAACAGCGGAGACCATGGAGGTGCAGCTGGGCTTGGGGAGGGTCTACCCCCGGCAGTCGTCCAAAACCTTTCGGGGAGCGTTTCAGAACCTGTTCCAGAGCGTGCGCGAAGTGATCCAGAACCCGGGCGCCCGGCACCCCGGTGTAGCCGCGGGCGCAGCACCCCCCGGCGCCCGTCTGCAGCAGCAGCACCACCACCACCAGCAGCAGCAGGCGCCCCAACAGCCTCAGCAGCAGCAAACCAGCCCCCGGCAGCCGCAGCCACCAGCACAGCAGCAGGCGCCCGACGATGCCTCGCCCCCTACCCCGAGCCGAGGCCCGGCCGGCTACCTGGCTCTGGAGGAGGACTCTCAGTCGCAGCCTTCCCAGCCACCGCCTTCGGCCGAGGGCCGCTCGGAGAATGGCTGCGTCCCGGAGCCCGGACCGACCGCGGCCGGCGGCAAGGGGCTGCAGCAGCCGGCGGCCGTGGCGGTGGCCGTGGCGGCGGCAGCGCCAGACAACGATGACTCAGCTGCCCCGTCCACTTTGTCTCTGCTGGGCCCCGGCTTTCCGGGCTTGAGCAGCTGCTCCACCGACCTGAAGGACATCCTGGCGGAGGCCGGCACCATGCAGCTCCTGCAGCAGCAGCAGGAGGCAGCGCGGTGGCTGGAGGCAGCGGCGGCGGCCGCGGGAAGGAGCCGGGGGCTCCGCCTCTTCCAAAGACAGCTACCTGGGGGGCACCTCGACCATCTCAGACAGCGCCAAGGAGCTGTGCAAGGCCGTGTCCGTGTCCATGGCTTAGCGTGGAGACTCTCGAGCACCTGAGTCCCGGCGAGCAGCTGCGCGGGGACTGCATGTACGCCCAGCTGCTGGGGGGCCCGTCGGCGTCGCGCCCCGCGCCTCCCTGCGCCCCCCTGGCCGACTGCAAGGGCTCGCTGCTGGACGACGGCTCGGCCAAGGGCGCCGAAGAAGCCGCCGACTACCCTGCCTTCAAGGGCAGCTACGCCAAGGCGCTGGACGGTGAGAGCCTGGGCTGCTGCGGGGGCAGCGGCGGCGGCGGCGGCGGCGGCGGCAGCTGTGGCGGTGAGGCTGCAGGCGCCGGGCCGCTCGACATGCAGTCCCCCCTGACTCTCTACAAAGCCGGCCCCCTAGAAGAAGCGACCACCTACCAGAGCCGCGACTACTACAACTTTCAGCTGGCCCTGGCCGGGCCGCCTCAGCCCCCGCCGCCGCCGCCGCCTGCACACCACACGCACGCCCGCATCAAGCTGGAGAACCCGCTGGATTACGGTAGTGCCTGGGCCGCGGCCGCCGCTCAGTGCCGCTACGGGGACTTGGCCAGCCTGGCCCACGGTGGGGGAGCCTCTGCGGGCCCAGGTTCGGGCTCGCAGTCCGCTGCCGCCGCCGCCGCAGCCTCGTCCTCCTCCTCTTCGTCCTCTTCCTCCTCCTGGCATACTCTCTTCGCCTCCGAGGAGGGCCAGCTGTATGGGCCGTGCGGTGGCACCGCCGCAGCCAGCGAGGCAGCTCCCTTAGCCCCCTATGGCTACCGGGCAGTTCAGGGGCTGGCGGGCCAGGAGACCGACTTCCCTCCTCCCGAGGTGTGGTACCCCGGCGGCGTGGTGAGCAGGGTGCCCTATCCGGGCCCGGGCTGTGTCAAGAGTGAGCTGGGTCCTTGGATGGAGGGCTACTCGGGGGCCTACGGAGACATGCGGTAAGTGCAAGATGAGGGTCTCGCTCCCTTCCTTCCCCTCCTTCCATCCTTTCCACGCCCCCCCCCAAGACCGCAGGCCGCCTTCGGACTCTGTGGCAACCCGTCGGCCGTGCCTGTCTTCACCACCACACCCATGCCCCCCTCTCGCTCGTTCACTCACCCACACGCCAGCTGGCACAGCTTCCTCTCCCGGGGAAGAGATTTGCCTAGCACCCTAATCCTGTAGCTCACTTTAAGAGTCACCCAACCTCGAGGCTCTGATCTGTCCATGTCACTGGGCAACTCCGACTGTTCTCTTTACTCTGGGTGCAGAAGGGCACCTGTGCACATATCTCCTTTTCCGACTACCCAGAGCAGCCCCCTTCCCCAATTCAAAATCTCCTCAAGACCCCGCAGAGTGCCTGGCCCTTCTCCCTTCTTGCTGCGGGGGCGGCCTGGCCAGCAGCTCCCGATCCCCGCACAACCTTGCCTGTGGTCTCAAAGGCCCGCAGAAATCGAGATTGGCAACCATGCCCGTTAGCGTCTCGTTCTTCCTTTCCTTAGCTCCACAGCCTCCTCCTTCCCTGAAAAGGTAAACAAAAGTGCTGTACTGGTAAAGGGAAAGTGCTGTCTTCCCGCTTTCCTCCAGGTTTCCCCCTGCAGCCGACTCTCAAAGCCTGGAGCCCACACCATCGCTGCTCAAGCCGGCGGGCTGGCCCCTCACTCAACTTGCCAAGCGGGAGTTGGAAAGGCTCGGCAGATGGTCAGTGCCCAAATGTTCCCTCCCGCCTGGTGTACACACAGGATTAAGGGGTGTAGGGGCCTCCCTGGTAGAAAGAATGGCTGAGGGAAGCTTCCTAGGGAGCTTTGGGGTTTGTTTTTTTAATTTTTAAGAAAAGGCAAATTTGGGGCTCAAAACAGGGAAAACTTAATCTCGACACCCCCTCCTCGGATCACTTAGAGGAAGTGGGTGACCCGGATTCCGTGTCTGTGGAAGGTGTTATCTGTCTCTTCTGTCGCCGCTTTGGATTTTAGCAAATCCCCGTTGCTCCTGGGTTTCCTTCGTCCTGACAAAGAGAGAAACGGTCTTTTAGGATGACAATTGTTGATATCTGCTTGATGGCATCAGTGATTCAGAGAAGGCTTTGTAATCTCTCCTGAATCACCTGTGAAGCAAGGCATCTCCTCTCCCAAATGTTGCATCTGCCACCCCCCCCCAACCCAAGTCCGGAGGGTTCCCTTCATTTCATCTTGCAGCCGGCAAGTGAAAAATCTCCCTGGGGTAAGGCTAAGGGCTAGATTTAGGGGTGGGATAGCGCTGAAGTGCCTTAATAAGATACCATAAACTGCCATAGGGCATCTAAAATTTGCCTCTGCACGGCCGCCCCCCCCCCCCCCCGCCTCGGGGGAGTTGCCTTATTCTGTGGTCTCTGCCTCCTCACCACAGAGTTCCCTTATTTCGTGGCACATGGCATCAACCACTAGGTTTTAGAAAAATTGCCTCCAAACCCAGAATTTTTAAGGCCATGTCTGGGAAGGCAGGTGGGCACAAAGATAGAAAGAAGGAAACATGGTCTGGGGAGCTTCTGGACCCCCTATTGGGTGATTACTTGCAAGCTCTTAGTCCTTAGTGCATATTTGGTTTTCTAAAACCTAATGTTTTTTCTCCAGGTTTTCCTTATGGGAATCTAACAACTTCAACTTTGCTCTTTGCATTACTGTTGTTGTCTTTATTGGTGCCTCTGTTTGGACGTCATTAAGGGAAAGAAGAATACAGTTGTTTCCTTAAAATGGTTGTTTTGGGGAGGGGGGAGTGTTGAGTGGGAAAGTTTTCAGTAGGCCTGACTTTGGATAGGTTTGGACTGATGCATTTCAGGATAGTTAATTTACTTTGTTGCAAGAGACCTCACCAGCTAGTTAATTACAGAGAGCCTTGAATCATATTTTTTGTTTTTTGCCTTAAGGGTGTGATTTCGTCCCCACCAGAACCCCCACCCCCCAGATCTTAATGAGAACAAATTTACTAGGTAACTAAAATCTTTCCAGGATCGTTTCTACTTGTTTTTAGCTCCAGGAAAACAAAATAAATTTAAAAAAAAAACAACCCTAGGATAAGAGAGTACTCTGGTAGTAATGATTCTAAAACTAAGCTCTCCCGTGTTGTCTGGGGCTTACCATGGTTTATGCCTCAGACTGGTTAGCTTTTTCTTTGATTTACACAGTTAATGGCAGGAAAGCAGTCGTCTGTCCAGGGATTTGTTCAGGGATCTGTAGCCTTGCTCAGAACAAAAGCTCTTCCTTTCTTAGGCATTGAGAAAGGTCTCGGTTTGCATATCTATCCTTTGCCCATCCTGGTCCTAATGGAAACAGGCTCTAGGTTAGAAAAACCTTGAATACTTCCAAGTACTCTGGTTTGGTCAATATTCCCAGCAGTGAAGTGGAGGCTGGAGGAGGATTTGGAGAAAGCTGCAGGAGTATTTTCACCAGGGGAAAGCTGCAGGAGTATTTTCACCAGGGGGCAAGATCGTAACTACCTTTGATAGAACTGCCCATGGGGCAGTAAAGAATTGGGGCCAGATCATCTAGCTCTGCTCTTGTTGAAAAGGAGCCCATTTCCTAGAAATCAACTCTAAAATTTTAATCTCAAAATATGCCCTGATCTCTCTCTCTCTCTCTCTCTCTCTCTCTCTCTCTCTCTCTCTCTCTCTCTCTCTCTCTCTCTCAATTCTCTCTCTTTCTTTTCTCTCTCCTCTCTCTTTTTCTCTTTTCTCTCTTTCTGTCTCTCTCTTCCCTTCTTTCTTCTCTCCTTCTTTCCTCTTGTCCCCACCCAAAAGGGTTCAAATTGGCAAAAGGCAAAGAGAGAGTTTCATCTCTACTTTGGGGCTTTCGGTAGCACTGGGGAAAATTGGGGATGGAAGGTATTGGGCTAAAAGTGGCCAGGTGTCCCCACCAATGTGTGTTCTAAAGCCATAGTTAGCGCTTAGAGCCATGTAGTGATATGGGTGGGGCAGGATTTTGGTAACTCAAGCAGTTTGGTCTAACTCTTTAGACCCACAAGGAGCCTCCCAAGATACTTTTTAAAACTGTCTCTGCAGAAGAATGGAGAGAGGCTCAAGGTGACTGTATTCCAGGGAGCTCAGCATGTGGTTTTAATAGAAAAAAACAACCCAACACCACAAAAGGAAAATGAAGTGCAGGGAGCTTTGGCAGAGGGGTACTCTGGCTGAATTTACCAGGCTTTTGTTGATTTCCCTGTGGTTCACCCAGGAGGGTAACTGAGTCCAGGCAGGTAAAATCGATAGAGGTAGGGTGGAGTGGTTTGACAGCTAGGGCTTTGGGTGGGGCATTTGGAAGTGGCTGTTGGGGGGGGTGGTGTCAGCCAGATGCCTTCGTGATTTAGCTTGATGTAAAAGACAGATTTTAACTCTTCTTGAGAATAAGCTATAATTGGAAGTTTCATTTTGTAAACTAGCCCAGCTGGGGACCTGGAAGGCAGGGTGGGGAGAAAGAAGAGTGGTCCTAGACTATTCTTCTCCTATGTATATTAGTTCATCATAGAGAGCTCATTGACCAACACCCCCCCCCCCTTCAGTCAACTAGTAGGTTTTTTATAACAGGCAACACTTTCTGAGTTTTTGTGGAAGTGAGACCGGGTGAGTTCCTCTGGGCAGGGGTTTGAATTCTCAGGAGCAGGGCTATTCTCCCTTGGCAGGTGAGCTGCCCTCTGATTAAAATGGTCCAGGTCTCAGCACACAGGTGTTCTTCCCTTGTGGTTCAAGGGGCAGCTTGGCAGCCTGAAAAGATTGACTTCCAGCCTGGCTTCTCTCTGTAGTCCCATGGTGCAGTCTAGAAGAAACTTGAATCTTGTTTGTAGAGGAACATTTTTTTAAAAATGTGCGGGGGTCGGGTAGGGCGCTGCTGCCTTTTTGCCCTGTGGAACATAGACCTCTGAGTGATTCCCTATATGCATTACCTTTGGAATGCAGGTTTTATTTTCTTGGCTAAATGCTTTTTTAACATAGATGTGACCTTTTTTTTTGGGGGGGGTAGTCTGTGATTTTGTCAATCTAAGAATCTCCTGGTGAGGAAACTCCTTTGCCCAATACAGGTTAACAGTTGGGCGAATCTTAGTTCCCAGTGAGGATGAGGGCCCAAGACCCCCCTCAGGCAAGCAGTATATGTGAGAGGCAGGTCTTCCTAGCCACTTGTCCACTGCTGAGCACGAATGACCTATACCAAAATCTATTTTCAAACCTTCAAAACAAATCGGCGTGCTCTAGTTGATTGTAACGGAGCTGGGATTTTGAGATTGGGCCACAGTAATGCTCTCTGGTCCTTCTGGGGACTGTAGCTTGTCAAATGGCAGAGTTGGACTAGAGGATCCCTAATCTCCTACCAGGGCCAACATCATAAGCTCTAAGGGCCTCCCTTTTGACTCCAATACTCTGTGATTCTTTGTTGCTCCATCCCAAGACCACCAGTTTCTATTCCTAACTGATCCTACGCGAACAGAGGGAAGCTGACTGGGTGTGGCAGAGCCCACAGTCTTTTCTAGAGGTCTGAAGTCACAAGATAAAACAAATCTTTTTCTTTTTCTTTTTTTGTTATTTCTTTTTCCTTTCCTTTTTTTTTTTTTAAAGAATGGGAGGAAGGGAAGGAGAAGTGAGTGTCCACCCCCTCCCCTCTTCCACCTCCCCTCAGTCGGTAATTTGTTCAGGTAAAGCTCTGCAGCTTTTCCTTCTGTTTGGTCTTCTTTTGTGCTTTTGGCATTGAAATACAGACACTGCTTTACACTTTGAAGGCTATTTTGCTCATTACATCTATCTGTGTCACAGTTTTAAGCATTTTTTCCCCTCTGAATAGTTGTGTATCAGATCAACCCTGGCATCTCTTGAAAGACTAGATAACTAACCTTGGGCCCGAGCAGCCTGATTGGACTTAGCTGTGTAATGTAGTGCTTCCCAGGCTAGTGGGGTGTCTCCTCCAGGCTCTTGATCCTGGACAGGTGTCTTGCTGTCCCA